GGGGACAGGGATGGGACAGGGACGGGGACACGCTGGCAGAGGGGATCTGGCAGAGGATCCACCTCACACTCCACGGGTGCCAGGGGGACCCAGGTGCACTGGGACACCCCGGAGATGCCACATGGAGGTGCCACCACCCCGGAGATGCCACGTGGAGGTGCCACCACCCCGGAGATGCCCCTGGCAGGAGCCCCGGCCGTGTCCCGTCCCCTCCCGGGAGCGGGAAGGACCCGGGCTGCCACCGGCACGTCCTGGGAGCGGCCAGGCCGCTGTGCCACCCCAGCGAGGTGCCAGCGCCGTCGGGGGTGACCAGGGGCGCTGGCACCGCTCTCGCTACAGCCGCGTCGAGCCAGCGGCTCGCCGGTGCCGTGCCTCAGTTTCCCCCTGCGCCGTGCGCTCAGCCCCAGCCCCCAGCGGCGCCGGTGGCCCCGGGGGTGGCGGGGAGGCGGCGGCGGGGCCGGGGCAGGGCGGCTGCCACCCAGGCTGCGCTTTTGGGTTAAACCCGGGCGTTCCTCCCTGCACAGACACGAGTAAAAATAACCGCCCCGAGCTCGGCGCAAACCACAGGCTTTTTATAGCCCGCCATCCCGAGACGGCGGGGCGGGGGCCGGGGCTCCGCCGTGCCCAGAGCAGCCCGCCGGGCGCCGGCCCGGCCGCACCGGCCCCTCCCCGGGGCCGCCCCGCTCCCCCTGCCCGTGCGCCCCGACGGCGCGGCCGCCCGCACGGGGACGGAGCCCCGGGCGGAGACAAGCGGGGCAGACAGCGCTGCCGTGGCCTGCCGCTGTCCCCTCCGCCCGGTGCCGGTCACACCGGGGCGCGGACCCCCGTGCCCGCCGCGGGACACGCACCTGGGCAGCGGCGCTTCCTCCTCGGCGGCTCCGCGCCCTCCCGGCGCTGCGGCGGAGCCGGGGCGGCCCCGGTGCTGGTCCCGGTGCTGGTCCCGGTGCTGGTCCCGGTTCGGTCCCGGTTCAGTCCCGGTTCGGTCCCGGTCCCGTCCGTGCCCCCGGAGCGCGCTGCCGCCGCCGCAGCGAGCGCCGCCGCTTACATTTGCATAACCCCGCCCATCCCGCCGGAAGATTTGCATATAGCAGCCGGGATGTTCTGCCATTGGATGACGGCGGGTGTATATTTGCATAGCCACGCCTCTGTGCGGGTTAGGGGCGGGGCCAAGGAAAGGGGCGGGGCCAGGGAGGTTTCGCGCGCGGCGGGTTTGGGGCGATTTCGGGGGGATTTGGGGACCCTGGGATGGGTTTGGGGAATTTGGGGCTGGAAGAGCGGTGAGGATGAGCAGATTGGGGCTGCGATGGGGGATTTGGAGGGGAGGACAAGGGGCAGTTTGGGGCATTTTGGGGCCCGGGGATGGTGAAGTTTGGGGGTCCCGGGGGATGCTGAGCCCTCACCGAGGGGTTCCGGCCGGGCTGGGGCGAGGTTTTGGGGCGCAGCTCCGGGCGGGGTTCGTGGCAGATCCCACTGAGGTTTCAGGGGGTCCCCCGGCACCGCCAGCCCCTTCAGCCGCAGGGTTTGGGGGTGTCACCCCCGCGGTCCCCAATGTCACCGAGGGCTCAGCGAAACCGCGGTGGAAAAACCTCCCGAGCCCCAAGCGGGGACCCCCAAGGCACCCCCTTCTTTTAATTGCATTTTTTATTTTAGAAACGCAGCCGCCTCTCCCTCCTCCCGTGCCAGCCGGTCCCCGAGGGTGGCAGCGCCACAGGGAGGCACCGGGGACACCGGGTGACGCCTCCGTGCCACCCTCCCGGTGCCACTGCCGCTCCCTGTCCCCAGCCCGGGGAGGTGACAGACCCCGGGGTGCGCTGCGGGATGGTGGCGGGTCCCGCGGGTGTGGAGCTG